AAAAATAGTTGGAGTAGACTTTAAGATCCGAAATCCCACTCTGAGATCCAGAAGTAAACATACTTGCAGATTTTAACACAAAGTATGAGGCTACTTTTCAAGTTTTATTTACAGGAATTATGTTGCATTACCTGTTTTTCTAACGTTTTCTTATCATCTAGTCATTTCAGCTGCTGAGCACACAAAATTTTTGTTTTGTATACCTATATGTCTAATTATATTATATGTATCGATATATATCAAAGAAATTAGAAGATAGTGAGCAGTTTTTGAAAATGCAAGTTAAGTCTCTGTCATCAGTTATGTGAACTGGATCGTATAAAGTGGACTCCCTTCAAATCATCAGATCTCAATATAATATTGCGAAAAGATGTTCAAGAATTTTCAGAACTTATGCGATTTATAACAAACTTATAACACTAATTATTACATAATGTGTATGGTATTATAATTTAACAATGAGAAACATTAATAACGAATTATAGTAAAAGAAATATGATTGTAATTACACAAATGTCTTCTCTCACACCTTTATAAAAATCACTTCTTTCCAACGAATACAACAGAATCTCGTACATGATCTATCAAACTATCTTATCTTGAGTCAAAGGTCTTTTGTCGTCTTTCGGTGGATAGAATCCGTTTCCCCAGAAGTGAAGAAGCGGTCCTTTACCACAGTGAAGCCTAGGACGCAATCTCTTCTTCTCGCTATCGTAGTGCCAGACAACATTCCCGACGAGTCCGGACATGGCCAGCGAGATGACAGATGCGCAGCCGGACAGTATGAAGACGGCGATGAGAGGAATGTAGTAAGAAAGTGGTAGCAGAAACATGGGGATCAAAGAGATAGGTGTCACAATGGCGATGAAGATGCCAGGTATCAGGAACATGGTGGAGCACACATCTGTTGCACACTGAAGGCGTTGCCGTTTACGTTCTACCTCAACAGGAGCAGGATTAAATTCGAATTTCCTTGCTCTACAAAGAGTAAAAGGGAATTCACATTAAAATATGAACATATAATACTTTATTCTGGGTTATTTTATAGATAAAATGATACATATAAAAACCTTGAAGAACGTAGATGTTTGGGGCTTCGATGCCCTGCTCAGTATTTTACTTCCCTAAAGCTCCAGAACTTTACTACTAAAAACTTGTTCTTGATTAGAAGCCTTACTGTTAACGTAAACAGTCGATATTTTAATTGATTTTTTAAGTTAATAATATATATATTGCATATTAATTATATTACTTTACGAATAAGCAAAATAATAATAAATAAATAATACCATAAAGTGAGTTCTTACAATAAAATGAGCTCAAGCAAAAAAAATGTTACTGCAGAAACATAATACATTTTCAATACTCTACACTCTACAGCATTTATAGGGAAAAAGTAATTTTCCCATCAATACGTACATCAGTATCAAATATTATGGACTTCAGTTGAAAGAGGTCCTGACGTGTCGTATACTTCGTTCATTCACACATGGATGACTAGTGTTTGGTAAAAATATAGTTCTTTATTAAGACCTACAGTACTGTAGGTATTATTTAAGGTTATAAATACCGTAGGTATTTGTAATGACCTTACGGATTAATAAGGCACCATAAGGAAAACGACACCAACATTTATTAAAAATTAACTTTCAAAGAATAATGAAAAAAAAATTTAACATTTAAAGAATAAAGGCAAACTCGGAGCACTACCTCGCTCCTACAACATAATTAACCTACAACCTGCCTCCTCTGAGGCTAACATGCAACTGTCGTCCCTCTCACTTGCTGGGCTCTGCCAGGCAGCTGATTGGCTCACCGCTGCCAGATACATGACAGTATTTATTAAGACTAGACATCAGAAATGAAAACTTTAAGATTTATGTATGTTCTGTAGTCTTAAATATTAAAATAAACCAACATCTACATATACAAACTTTATATATTTATAAATAACTGACATACTTTGAGTTTTTACACCGCAATAAGTATTTTTAGTACTGTAACTGCAACTATTTCTTACAGGGAAAGTTTCAAAACCTTATTCACTTTAATATAGTCATTGTGATCTCCTTTCGTGATGGGATCCGATTTCCAGACCATTTATAACTCTGCCAGCACGTTTCTCAACCATTTTCAATGGCTTCTGTGATCCTCAAGTGTAGTTTATCACTGGAATAAATCATTTGTATTCAAACAGACTGACTGAAAGAAGTCACAGGAGTCACAGCCTAAAGAGCAAACCAGCCTTTTCTTAAATTTTTTTATCATGAGCTCCCTATCTTCTAATTGAATTTCTACTAGATTATCACTCAGAAGTAATGCGAATACCGAGTTGTTTTTGGCATTTGTAACTCACAGCTTCCACGTCCTTCAATGGATTTCGAATGAAGTGGTCAACTTCCCGTACATCTTATTTACGCTCGTGTACATGGCCAGCGATTTTCTTTTAAAATCGCATCTTTAAGTTTCAAAAATATGTAACCATCTCCATGCGGTGGGAGTGGGTTCTTGAGAAACTACGTTTTGGCATCGCACTGAGCTCCATTTCCTTTGTCTGACTTCCCATAATGAATGACGTAAAATCTTTTCTCTGTGGAATTTCTGTTTTTTAAATTTCCGCAACAAAAGCATTATACGAAAATGTAACCATTTTCCAGTATTAAGACATTATTTTAGTTGAATGTTTTTGTCATGTGGATTAGATTACAATATTTGATAAGTACGTGTTGCATGTTACCTAGCTTGACTCTGTAACGTCAGACATTCACCATACTCCGCTATTTCTTTAACTTTCATATATGTGTGACGAAATATGATATGAAATATACTTGATTTTTTTTCGTTGCAGTAATTTTGATGAGTGCTTGACTAGAGAAAACGTTATTATTTTGCAGTCGCGAGTGGATTGAAGATAGAAGATCCCTAAAACTTCGATTACGTAGTAGAAGATGCTGTCAACGTTTGAAAAATTACAAAATCATTTCTCATAATCCAGACATATCTTTATTACTTGTTGATAACTCTATGGGATAATATATCACGATGGGGACAATCTGCACCCCCACAGTTTTGATGATGACACATTATACAGCAGTTTTGATAGAAGCAGCCAAGCAACAGAAGTTTTAGCTAACAAGCGTAGAGGGGAAGAGAGAATATAGTTGGATTGGAGTGGTATTTATAGCAAGATTTTTCGTTAATCTGATTGGCTAAGAACAATACGCAATGCAGAAGGTTAAGATGATATAATGCAGAATTAGTTTTCAGATATGAAGCAGTTTCGAAAAAGTTATTACTATTTTTAGAACAGAAAAGGGGGGAAGTGTCCAAACCAATAAGAGGGATTAAGGGGCTATTTCTAATTTAAAGTTTAATTCAGAGTAAAACTCGTTACCACTGCAGACTACTAAGCACTCCCTCTCTCAAATATTAAACTTTTCGCTCTTTACGGTTATCTTTTAATCAATGCCACCTATTGTCAGAATTCAGTATGTGTAACTTAGTAACATAAATGGAAAAGCAACAGCAAGCTGTAACAAAGTTCTGTTCTTTGTTTATTTCACCAGTCATTGATTGGACATAATAAAAGCTCTTCTAAGTAGAAAATAAATAAATTGGGATTGGTAATGTTAATTCCGTTCATCCCCAAACAAAACGTGTTTTAGCCCAAAGGGGCAATTTGCCCAGAAGGGCTATTCATTTCATTTTGGCATTTTGCGTTGATTCACTATAAGCGGCGAATCGCTTTTTAAATTGTTGCCCCCAAATATTAGACCCTTGTATTATATTTAAAGAAATCAAATAATGAATAATCTGCATAAATGTATGTATGCTTCTCGCACTGTAATAAAACAACGGTAATTACAGCCATCAAAATTTGACCAGCGTACGTTTCCGCCCGAATATGGGCATCTAGAAGCCCAAATTTGGAATCTGGAATTTGTTTTATTATCTCTTTCATAGTTTGTAAACCTTTAATGAATTTTTGATAAACAAACTCAACAATTGCAAAGCGAGCAATGGCAACACTGTAAGGGGGAAAAAACAAATTATCTACAGCGCACGAGACTGTGTATCGGAAATTCTAGAGAAAAAGATAGGCTCATTTTAAAATTATTTTGCGATATTGCTTTAATGAATTTTATGGTTTAAGTGCGAAGAACTTGATATTTAATAAATAAAGGTAAAACACAAAACATTAAAAAATCGCCCCTTTGGGAGTAATTTTATGACCTCTTTTTTTGTTTAGTTTGTTTTGTTTAATTTATTTAACATGCAGCAGAAGCAGAACTGCAATCACGTCATTTCTCTCTCCACCCCCTTTTTGTTTTTGCATTCATGACCTTTTTTTTTTTTTTTTTTCTGTCGTATGTTGTGTCTGCAGATTTATGAGAGTGCTTGAGTGTGATGGATTGAATCCAACACCCTTTTTAGTTCGGCCACCAATATAGAGAGAATAAGCAATTTCAGGATCTAGCGAGCTTCGTATAACTTTGACTGACATAAATTATAATTAATGAAAACATAAAACCTTCTTTTTCCTTTAGGGTAAATATGCATTTGATCTACAGGAGAATAAAAATTATCAGGTTGACAAAGTAGACAAATGACTTGTTTTACACCTTCTACTCTTTCTACCCCATTTCAAACGGGCTGTGGTTCGAATTAGCGAACTGAGTTAAGGTTTCGCTACTTGTACTGTAATATAATAAAATAAAAATATGAGTCTTACAAATGTGGCAGGATTTACTCTCATATTTTTATTTTCAGTAGATGATAAAGTCACTGGCAGAGGTCCTAACTATAGCTGAATTTATCAGGTAGTACTCCGAAGTTGTCTCAGCAGCCATCTGTGACTGATTTGAGATAATGTTTTGTTTTCACTCGGTGACTACTCGTATAGTCAAATCAGGAGCTTACACGTTTCGTAAATGCATCATTAATCGGAATTAAATTGTCTTCTGATTTACGTAACACACGCTAATTATTTTCCGGATACCAATGTTACCTTTCAGTAACTATGAAAAACAACTTTATGCTAATCACGAATTAATCCCGCAATTTTCACAAACTGGAGACAGCTGGCATTTTAACTCATTCTTCCTCTTTTGATATCTATCAAGTACGATAAAAAAAGAACTCTTTCTTACTGTGCATGATGTGAATGAGTAAGTGCGCCATCTAGTGTTGAAGGGGAAAAGGAGTATTAATATATTATACACAAAAAGTAGATTAACCTTGACCGAGAAACAAGTGCGCTTTGAGATCACATTTCCTCTAAGAGTAACTCGTTTTCCAATTTTTTTTTTCACTCGCACTTTTTCAATCTCTTTCCTCATGTATAAAATTAATTATTTACTTCATTTTATGACTGAGATTTATTTGGAAACTAGTCTTATCATAAAACTGAACCCAAGTCAAGCCACTTCAGTGTGCAAAAAGAAAAGGTTACTTGTTTTCAAATTTCTCATAATTTTAATAACAAAATATGCTTTTTCTCCAATATCACAATAACTAGAGTCAAACTGGAACATCGTTTGAAAGAAGCAGCTAAAACAGAAGGCTCCTTATATATGCGCCCTCAGTTCGATTCTGACAACAAAATACATCGGCTACGTACTTGTTTTCTTGGATTTCACTAATTGAAACGTAAATACTAGTTAGTATAGTTTAAAAATTCGTCATGAAAACATCTCTTCCAATAGAGCAGGGTTTCTTAAACCTTTTTCAGTAGCGACCACTTTTTACCACTGAGATTTTTTCGCGATCCTCAGGATTGGATTGGATTGGATTGGATTATTCAGTTATGGCAAAGCACACGAGGGCTGTCTGCCCAAAGGGAGGGATGCCTTCCGTGGAGGACTTTCCAAGGGAAACTGGCTCGTATACACGTTACACATGGGGAAAACCACGAAAACGCCCATGCAGCCAGCCCGTTCGCGGGATTCGAACCTCGGACCGAACTACCAGTGTTCAGC